ATGAGATTCAATCCAGTTCCTCTTGTGTTTTTCCATAGCTTCTCAAAGCTTTCCATGTTCGTCCCCGTCAGTCATCAGTAAACATTACTCATTGACTGCGATATCTAGTAGATGGTTTGTCAGACTCTACTGTTGTCAGACTCTACTAGATCTTCTTGATATTTGAGAACCTTCCGGTGCTGGTGGTTGAACATGAACACCATAATCTTCATCTGGTTCATTCTGATTAGGAAATTCTGGATTTTCTAACTTTGGCACTTATTCTCGTGGAATGTTTTCTTCATCTCCAATTTGTCTGCATTCTATTGGAGGGACTCTCTGTATGTCTGTTGAGTCTTAATCAAATCTATTGGAACTCTGCTTCAATATCTTCAATAGTCTGATCTTCAACAAATACAGCATCATGATTTCTTATAATCGTCTTCTGGATTGGGTCATAAACCCTATAGCCACATTGGTTTTGGCCATAGCCAATGAATACACATTGTCTAGTCTTGACATCAAGCTTCGACCGTTCATCCTTCGGGACATGTACGAAGCGTTCATCCTTCGGGATATGCACGAAGGCTTTGCAACCTAAACACCCGCAAATGATCATAGGAAACATCCTTTCCTGACTATACTCTCTCTGGAGTATCATACTGTAGAGGAAAACACGGTGAGTAAAGTTTCACCCCAAAATCTCTTGGACAACTTTGTATGTGAGAGTAAACATTAGACTCTCTCCATCAAAGTTCTATTCATCCTCTCAGCCAAACCATTCACTTGCAGTGTCTTGGGAGGTGTTGTTTGATGTCGAATGCCATTTTCTTTGCAGAAAGCATCAAATGGCCCAGTGTATTCTCCACCATTATCTGTCCCAATACACTTCAGCTTCTTGCCTGTCTATGTCTCAACCAGGTTTAGAAGACTTCAATATGTATACCCAGGTCTTCCTAGAATGGTCATCGATAAATGTCACAAAATATCGTTTTCCACCATATGACATCGGCAATGGTCCACACAAATCTGAATGAATCAGATCTAATACATTCTTCATTCTAGAAGGAGGGGTAATCTTGAAAGCTACTCTGTTTAGCTTTCTGTTTTAGCTTTCCTGCCATACAATCAGGACACTTCTCTAGGTGAACTTCATCCAATCCAGGTAGTTCGTTCTTTCTTGCTAGAGTTTTCTTACTCATGTGGCATAGTCGTTTTCCTTAAGCTATCACAAATAAACCTTTTGTGAGCTTCTATTGACCATTTCTGAAGGTGCTACAGAAACCTTCATCATCAAATCTACAACTGAGATTTGGACGCACGCTGGAAAGCCCATTCCTCATCAGTCTTGTCTTCTGGTTTAGTTCAACTAAACACAGGTAAATGCATTTTAATTACCGTAAGGAGATCTCTCATTTCTCCATATATGGTAATTCCCGCCGTTTAGACTGATCATTTTGCTTGTCCATTTTAACTTGCGCAGAAAATCATCACCAACATAAACTGTATACGTGAACAGTAGTATATGAGAATAGTGACCATGAATAGTAATAGTCTACTCAAATAGTAATTGTATGTGTGAATAGTAACTGTACACGTGAATAGTACTATGCGTGAATAGTACCGGGCTTACTTGAAACGACTCAGCAACAAAAAAATCCAATAGTACTGTGCACCATCAACTTTGAGTTACTATTTTACTATTCATCACTAAGTCAATTCTGCAACGTCTTTCCGAGCGGACAGCACCAGTGGACTCGCCGTCATTTTCTCTTTATCGTGGTATATTTATTTTTAAAACATATCCACGGATCCGGTATCGCTATCTGACCGGCTGGACCTGCCGAAATCTTCGGCTCTGATACCAGTTGTTAGGCATCAGCTCTGGGACCTGCCGAAATCTTCGCGCTGATACCAGTTGTTAAGGCATCAGCTCTGGATACAGTTTTTTGGGGCATCAGCTCTGATAACCACTTGTTGGCCCTTTCCAACGAATAAGAGAAAATTAACGCAGAAAAAAAATAGAAATGGAACACACAGAAATTTACGTGGTTCAATCCTCCAACTGTTTTAGGCTACGTCCACGGACAAAAACTCCGAAATTCATTCTCTCCACTATTAAACACACAGAAATTTACGTGGTTCATCCTCAACTGTTTAGGGCTACGTCCACGGGACAAACTCCGAATCATTCTTCCACTATTAAAAAAATAGTAGGTAAACAAAGAGAGTAATACAAAAATAGTGGCACACAAAGTGTTTTCCAAAACACCCCAAAATAATTTCCTCACTATTTTTCTCCCCTTCATTTTAGGAAACCCTTCCTAAAACATAACTAACTTTCTCTACATTTTTCCTTCGTCTTTCTACTGTGTGTTTCCAATGAATTAAATCATCTCCGACTTACACACGGCTCTTTATTTATGTCATGGTTGGCTGCCAAACTGTGAATAGTTGGCTGCCAACTTTTTGACTTTTTCTCTTTTTTTCTTTCATGTGTGTGGGTCCCACTTGCGTGGCAAGCACCACAACAAGTAAATTAGTGACCGGGTTTGGTATTTTAGCTTTTAAAGCATTATTTTGAAACTAATAATTGATGGATTTTATGATTACAACAACTTTGGTTATTTTGACTACAGTTTTTGTTATTTTGGAATGATAAATAAGTTTTTTTTTTTCCCTAAGCAACCTATAACTCTGCAGAATGAGAACGAGAATTCAACCTGTGAAGCGTCAATCATATGGGTTAGGCTTTTCACCTTATTTCCTTTCACAATTATCTTTTCTTTGTATTGCCTGTCAAATTAAGAAAAATAAGCTGTCAAATTAACGTTCACGCCATGCAAAGAAGTGATAAAATCCATGTTTGAACACCTGAAGCACACAACTCTTTATTTTATTTTATTTTAAATTTATAGTTGTTAATAGAATTATTATTGGATTTAAATAGCATATAAAGAATGAATCTGTCACATTTTTTCTCATCTTTTTTTTTTCCCTTCTTAATATATGATGTGTAGATTGAACCAAGCATCCTTACGGGTATAACTTGCTTTCATGTCATGAAGATGGACTAAGACAAATATGGACAATCATTTGTTTTGTTACTGAATATATGATGTATAGATTGAGCCGAGAAATTTTGCCCAGATTATAAATTATAGCTACATAATGCAGCTATACTGTGTTTGCAGCTCTAACATTATTTTTATTTCCGTTGAATGGTTGTAGCAGCTCATGGGGATAATTTCAGCGCTAAAAGAATGAAAAAACTTATACAATGGCAGTAACAATTGATGTTAATGTAGTGTTTGTAAATAATATTAGTTCCATAAGATATATGCTTGACTGAAGTATTTGTTATCACATGGTTGATTCCTCTATTAATAACGTGTAAATTTTCTTTATTCTTTGATAAGTCTTGTTGCAATGTTTGTTCATATAATTATATCCTTAATCTTATAACGAAAAGATTTTATATATTTTACAGATTTTATTAAGAATTTATTCTCTATTTTCCTTATTCAATATACATATTGCTATCTTTATAGTAGAATTATATAATTTTTAATTAATAATTAATAGGAAAAAAAAAGTAAGAGTTGTTTTTAGGAGAGAATTTTTTCTTTTCTCTTTTTTATTTTTTTTAAAGAACTTTGAATTACTCTCTTTTTGCGAGAATTATTATTGAAATTTGAATGAATTCTAATTTTACCTTTTCGTTTTCATAAATAGCAAAAAATATAAAATGTGTACCTTTAATTCTTGGAATCATTATAGGAAATCAAATGGCTGCTCTTTTAATGTATTGGTATTTAAGATTTAAAGTTAACATACTTTTTAAAGACAAAAAAAATTATAAGTTATAAATTATGTAGACTATGAGATAGGGATAACAGCGCGCAATGCGTGGACTTTCACTTAGTTTAAACATAATTTTGTATTTCTTGAGGACAAATAGGCGTGACGGGATGTAAGATTCACAGCATAACTCAACCTGAAGACAGCAACTTTTCAGCCACATATTCTTGTTTTCTTTGCTTTGTTGAAGAGGACCACAGCAATTGCCAAGACATTTAACCTCACCCAATTGCCAAATTGTATCTCTATACACATTCTCTAGCAATTTGGTCCACTTATATCTCTGCTTGTGGCTCTTAATTATTACGCTTGGCCACCATCAGAACCCCCTCCTGCCTTTTAACTACTAGGCACATTCAATTAATTTTATTTATTTTATTGGTAGGATATTTTCGTTTTTCAGTTGTGCGTTTATTGAGACTATATGTAAGAGCACACCATCTGATAGGTTATACATTAATTAATTAGCTCTTGCACATTTTTCATTCCAGATTCAAATCCTAATTTTTTATTTTGATGGGAGAAAATTTAATTTTCGTTTTGCATTGTTAGTAACTTGAGAAAGATCGTCGAGTTTGATTCGAATATCCAAAAATTAATAATGAACTAATTAAAATAACTTATAATATTTATTAATTATAATATTACGTAATTAGAATTATTTTTGCATGTAAACAATATGAAAATTATTTCTTTTTTACTTATTAAATTTGATTCGACTTGATACATGTTTTAAAATTATTAAAAATTTTAATAACATTTGATTCAACGGGAAACACTGACCTACTCTCGATGTATAAGCTCATCTATACATCAAATCAATTACAAATAATATTTTTATTGGAACCATGGTATTTTCTAACCATATGCTAAAAAAAATAAAAATAAAACAGTAACATTTAAAAAAACAAAAAATTTATGGACTTGATGCCGACGGGCAAGAAATTTTCCAATTGGATTAAGCTTAATCAACAGAATGTTGACACCAGCATAAGTTTACTAGGTAGTAGAAAAATCAAGCAATATGTCCACCACACAAGACCCACCATAAATAAACCTCTTCTTATTCTCACATGGTTTGCAACCACAAGTCCATACACTATAAAACATGTCTCTTTTCAAGGGTTAGTGTATAACCATATATAAATAGCCCACTTCCATTTCCTTCAACACAACCCAAGAATTCACATTCCTCTCTTATGCAAAGCCTATACCTAAATCAAGAAACCATGATAAGTCCCAAGAAACTCATCCACATAGCAAGAAAATGGCAAAGACAAGCTGCCCTAAAGAGGAAAAGAATCTCATTCCCAAGCGTTAGCCAAGTAGCAAATAAGGGCCATTTTGTTGTCTACACAGCTGATAAGAAACGTTTCGCGTTTCCTATGTTGTATCTTAATAACTATGTTTTCCGACAGCTTTTGGCTATGTCTGAGGAAGAGTTTGGATCACCTGGTGATGGACCTATCATATTAACATGTGACAGTTCTTTGATGGAGTACGTAGTTCACTTGATCAAACGAAGAATTGATAGAGAGATGGAAGAAGCATTGCTTATGTCTCTTTGTAACAGTAGTAGTAAATGCTTGTTGTCTTCTTGTCTATGTCAAGAACAAAGTAGTCACAAATTATTAGTGTGTAGTTTCTGAATTTGTATTCATACAAATTTTATACATCAATTCTCTTAAAGGATTTCCTTGTTTGGCTATGGCGAGATTTTTTGGCTATATATATATCCAAATTTTATTACATCAAATTCTCCTTAAAGGATTTCCTTGTTGGCTTATAGGCGAGATTTTTTGGCTATATACTATAATATATATATATATATATATATATATATAGAAAACTCAACATCTGCGAAATTATGCATAAATTTATTCATAGGACAAGATTAAATTTATTTTTTATTGTGAAAAAATTAATATATAAGAAAGTAGTATATCAACACATGATTAATAAAATATAAACAAAGACATCACAACTTATTAAGGTACACTTTGTGTTAGGGCACCGACAATAAATTACGAGAATAATTACGGCAGCGAAAAATAAAATTGTGAGACACAGAAATTTACGTGGTTCACCCTTAACTGTTTAGGGCTACGTCCACGGGACCAACTCCGAATATTTCTTCCACTATTAAATTAAAAAATAGTAGGCTTACAAAGAGAAATACAAAATAGTGGCACTTCAAAAGTTTCCCAAAACACCACCAATAAATCTTCACTATTTTCTAGCCCTTTAGTTTTTTTAAGAACTCTTTTAACTTTAAAACTGAATAACTCTCATAATCTCTCTTCACAGGATTAAATTTGTATCTGTGGCTATGTGTGTTTGCTTGAGGATTCGCTACCTCTATTTTAGGATTCGCTACCTCTATTTATAGGAGAGGTCTGCGCATTCATTGCCTAAACATGTACGGCTTTTCTTTGCCAACCTTTGAATTACTTTGCTGCCAACCTTTGAATTGCTTTCTTGCCAACCTTTGAATTTTTTTTTTTTTCTTCATCGCGTGTGTGGGTCCCATTGAGTGGGCATCGCCACCACCAACAAAAAATGTGTGGGTCCCACTTGAGTGTGCACCGCCACAGCAAATCTTCCCCTGCACACTCAAGTGGGGACGTTAGCCATACTGATCCATTTTCATTTGTATGGATCTCCATCATCCCTACAGCTAATCAACAATATTCAAATTTGTCTTTTGGAAGAATCTTCGTTAACATATCTGATCCATTTTCATTTGTATGGATCTTCTCAAACTGTAATTGTTTCATCTCCAGTACATCCCTGATCCAATGATATCTAACATCAATGTGCTTTGATCTTGAATGAAAAGAGGAATTCTTCCCAAGATGAATCGCACTCAATCGCACTGCTGGCTATCGCAGAATATCAAATACGCCGCTACAACTTTGCGGGACACGCCGCCGGACCTCCTTTTGTCGGGAAGACTTTCGACACAAGACACCACCTGCAGATCTTTTTTTTTTGTCTTGGTTCTATTGTTACATTGCAACTCTTTGCACGCTTCAGTAATTTTGACTGCCACGATACGGCTCCCCCTGCAAATGTGATTAGATATCCTGATGTAGACTTTCTCGAGTCAACATCCCCAGCCATATCTGCATCGGTATAACCGACTAATACTCGCTTCTCATCTCCAAAGTATAAACATACTTTGGTTGTACCTCGAAGATCCATTTCACTGCAGTCCAATGTTCCTTTCCAAGATTTGAAAGAAACCGACTCACTACTCCGACTACTATTCGACTGAGTGAGAATATCTGGCCGTGTACAAATCATAGCAATACATCAAAGCTTCCAACTGCTAAAGCATATGGAATCCTTTTTCTTTCTTCCTTCGCTCCACGGTAGGAAGGGCAATGTTTGAGCTTAATTTAAGTGATTAGCAGAGGGCAAACTAACCGCTTTAGCATTCTCCATTTTTGAACCTTTGAAGTACTTTTCAATGTACTTCTCCTTGTGACAAACCATAATTTCTTGGTTCTTCGAATTCCTTGCAATTCTCATGCCAAAGGAATTGCTTTGCTGGTCCAAGTCTTTGCATACAAAGACTTACTTAGTTGTTCTTCAAGCTATTAATGTCTGACAGAATTCTGGACCCAACCAATCAACATATCATCCACATAGAGCAAAAGAATAATGTAGTCATCATCAGATAATTTCTTTACGAAGGACAGCAGTGATCTTGAAAGTACGTCTTTTTGTAACTATGCTCCCCAACAGATTCAAAACTTCTTATTACCACGTCTTTGTATACCACTGTCTTGGTGCCTGTTTTAAACTATACAAGCTTTTCTTCAACTTACATACATAATTCTCTTTTCCTTTTTCGATGAAACCCTCTGGCTGCTCCATATATATTTCTTCTTCCAAGTCACCATGTAGAAAGGCAGTATTCCCATCCATTTGCTCAATTTCCAGATTAAAACTGGCGGTCATTCCGAGCACTATTAGAATGGATGTCATTTTCAGAACTGGTGAAAAGATTTCATCAAAATCAATACCCTTTCTTTGATTGAATCCTTTCACAACCAATCTAGCTTTGAATCGTGGTTGGGAGCCATGTTCTTCCTGCTTGATCCTGAAGAACCACTTGTTCTTCAAAGCTTTCTTGCCTTTGGGCAACTTTACCAGCTCAAATGTTGTATTCTCATGTAAGGATTTCATTTCATCTTGCATGGCTTCAATCCAGTTCCTTTTGTGTTCCTTTTGGTTTCACTTTCCATTGCTTCTTCAAGGCATTCAGTTCTCCCCTGTCAGTCATCAAATAATATTCATTGCTGAATGTCTAGTAGATGGTTATTCTGACTCTTACTAGACCTTTCTTAATGTTTGAGAACCTTCTGGCTGCTGGTGGCTGAATTATGACACCATTCAAAATCGTCTTTTCTGGTTCATTTTTGATTAAGAAACTTTCTGGATTTTCTAACTCTGGCTCTTGTTCTTGTGGGAACATTTTCTTCATCTCCAACCTTGTCTTGTTCTGTTGTTGAGAGAACTATTTGCACATTTATTGAATCTCTTCAGATCTATCGGTAGCTTGCTTCTGTAGTCTTTTAAACATCTTCAATAGTCTGAATTTTTCAACAATACAGCATTCTCTACTTCTTTTCATCTCTGGACTTGGATCATAAATCTATAGCCAAATTGATATTGTGCCATAACCAATGGAATACATTTGTCGAGGTCTTGAAATCAAGCCTAGACCTCTCATCCTTAGGAATATGCACGAAGGCTTTGCAACCAAACACCTCAAATGACTAGGAACCATCCTCTTCTGACCATACTCTTTCTAGATTATCATACTGTTAGAGGAACACAAGATGAAACATTTAAGATGAACTCTGTAAGAAGAGGCTTCCACCCCAAAATCTTTTAGACAACTTTGCATGTGAGAGTAAAACACTGACTCTCTCCATCAAAGTTCTGTTCATCCTTCTCAGCCAAAACTCAATTGCGGTGTCTTGGGAGGTGTTGTTTGATTGTCGAATATCATGCTCTTTATAGAACAGCATAAATGGCCGCAGTGTATTCACCACCATTATCTGTATCTGGTGCACTTCAGCTTTTTGCCTGTCTTGTCGCTTCAACCAAGTTTTAGAAATTGTTTAAAAACATCCTTAAAACTTTGATTCTTTTAAACTTCCAAACGTGTACCCAGTCTTCCTAGAATGGTCATGGATAAATGTTACGAATATCAATTTCCACCATATGACATCGTCAATGGTCCACACAGATCTGAATGTACCAGATCTAACACATTCTTCATTCTGGAAGGCTGAGAATCTTGAGGGCTTACTTATTATGGTTTTCTGCCATATATCAGGAACATTTCTCTAAATGATACTTTATCCAATCCAGATAGCATTATTGTTTTACAGAGTATGTCATTCCTTTCTCACTCATGTGGCCTAGTCATTTTATGCTACAATTCAATGTACTGTCATCCTTCCGCTACATTTTAAAGTATCTTGGAAGAGCTTTGCATGCAATCACATACAGCTTTTGGTCTTTCCCTTCCATTGGCTACGTACCAATATGGAAACCTTTTTGTGAGTTCACTGACTTATTTCTGAAGGTGCTATAGAAATTTTCGCATCAAGTCTGCCAACCGAGATTAAATTAGAATGCATGTTCTGGTACATGCATGACATCTTTTAGAATTAATTCTCAAACCATTTTCTGGTCTCCAAGCAAATATCTCCCTTTACGACGACTTTCAACAGTTTGTCGTCTGCTATCTTGACTACACCTTAGATTGTCTGGTGTGTAAGATGAAAAATTTTCTCTTCCGAGATGTTGCATGAAGTGTAACCCCAATATCAATTACTTAACTGGTTCCTTGGGTGCAAGATTGGATTTAGTTGTCTTCAATGAACAGTTGGAACTCAGCAATAACATTGGCTTCATCATCACTGCTTCTTCTTTCTTTGCTTTGCCTTTGATCTTCTTCCTGATCCACTTTTTGAAAACAAAAACCAAACACTAACCCAATAAAAAAAACCACACAAAACAAAAACAAACAACAAACCCCAAACAAAAAACAACCAAAAAAACAAAATCAAACAACACCCTCTTGGCAATTACTATTTTAATGTGCCCCTTCTCCCACAATTGATGGGCACACAAATAATTGGCAAAATTTGTTTGATTTAACCCATGCTTCTTATCTCTTGTATTTTGAACTTCTAGATTGGCTCCTCCCTCTGGGCTTGGTCATTCTTTTAGCATCTGCTAAAACAGAATGTCTGACTGAGATGAAGAAGGATCCCTGTGCTTTGCGTCTCATTTCTTTCATTCAGAACAGCAATTTTTAACAAATTCCCAGCAAACTCCACTATTGTGTTGTAGAGGTTTGTTATTTGATATCTTCCAAAGTCTCCCATGAACTCTGGTAAGGAGTGCAAGCACTATAAGGCTGAGGATTTTTATTCATCAAAATTTATGCCCATATTTGACAGCTGATGAATAGTCGCCTGCATTTCACTTTAAGTGATCTTGCTATAGAAGTACCTTCTTGTATTTTTGAAATTTCATCAGCTTCGCTCAAATAAAACAATTGGTTCGTTTGCCGAATTTAGAGGCATTATAGTCTTTCAAGCTTGTCCCATAATGTTCTGGATGGAGTTCGTTATAAATTGTGGTTGTAACCACATTAT